AGCCCCTCCTCCAGGACTCCAAGCAAGAGGCAAGGTGGAAGCTGCGCGCACCCGCGCGCGCTCCCGGCTCGCCTGGGGTGGAGAAAGGCGGCCGTCCTCACGTGCATCCGGGGCCGACGCGCGTCGGAACGCGCCGGCTTCGACGGACGAGGCAGGCGTCTGAATCTGTGGCCTTTTAAAAAATAAATTAATTTTTTTTATTTAATTCTTTTAAATTTAAGAGGGGGGCCCCCTGGACCTCTAGAAAATACTGTAAGCTGTGCCCAAGCTTAAGGATGCTGCTAGGCTGTGCGCACATTTCATGAGAAAGGTAGTGCCAGCCCAGGAGAGAAGCCCCCCCTTTCCCTCTTCCATCATCTTTCACCTGTAGCACCCCCAGGGGTCCTTCGAGAAGCTCATTTTGGAACCGGAAAGTTGCAGAGTTTTCACTTTCCGGCTCGCTTGGAGGGGAAAGGCGGCCGTCCTCACGTGCGTCCGGGGCCGACGCGCGTTGGAACACGCCGGCTTCGACGGACGAGGCAGGCGTCTGAACCTGTGGCCTTTTTAAAAATAAATTATTATTTTTTTGTTTAATTGGACCTCTAGAAAATACTGTAAGCTGTGTCCAAGCTTAAGGATGCTGCTAGGCTGTGCGCACATTTCATGGTAGTGCCAGCTCTGCTAGCCCAGGAGAGACACCCCCCTTTCCCTCTGCCATCATCTTTCACCTGTAGCACCCCCAGGGCTCCTTCGAAAAGCTCCTTTTGGAACCGGAAAGTTGCAGTTTTCACTTTTTTTGGCAAAATTCTCTCTCGCACAGCAGCAACCCCAAACGCTCTGAACAACCTCGCTTTTCTGCCAGCGAATTTTTAAGGGAATTAATGACATCAGAGGCACAGGACCCATTCCAGGTAACCCTCGCGGGTCCCTCTTTCCTCGAAAAAAACGCCTCCTTTTCTTCCCTCTTTTTCAGCAGGTGGGCATCTGTCTGTGTATGGTGCAGGTAAACAGATGTTTCTTTCCATTCTACCATATTATTCCCTTTAAAAACGGATGCCGAGAGAACACACAATACAAGCTTATTCCAAATTTATACAAATCATTTCCACTTTTACAAACAATTAAAAGCAAGGTACTATGAACCATGAGACGGTAATCCCCTTTATTTATTTTTTTCCCAGCATGTTGGCAAAAGAAGACAGGGAGGGGAAAAAAGAAATATTTTTCTGCTTCGTTGCTTCTTCCCCTTTATGCCTTTTCTTCAGCCAACATGGTGAGACAGACAAACACAGCTTGCTTCTTGGGCCGGGCGTTCCACGGACCGAATTAATTTCCAATCACTTCCTTCTCGCTGGACCATTTGTTCGCAAAACTGGCTGCGTGTTGTGCCCCTTAGGGTTGGTCAACAAACACAGGGCTCAGCAACACAACAAGCAGACCAGGATGGCTGCCATCGAGGACCTCACCTCACGCAGAAGAGCACCCTTTGGGGATGGAGGAATGGGTGGGAGCAGGGGGTGGTGCCTTCCAAAAAGAAAAAGGGGAGGAGATGAAAAGAGGTAGGAAATGCACCCCCTTTTTTGTTTAGTCATTAAGTCGTGTCCGACTCTTCGTGACCCCATGGACCAGAGAGCACGCCAGGCCCTCCTGTCTTCCACTGCCTCCCGGAGTTGGGTCAAATTCATGTTGGTCGCTTCGATGACCCTGTCCAGCCATCTCGTCCTCTCTCGTCCCCTTCTCCTCTTGCCTTCACACTTTCCCTTGATGAAACTGTCCAACCATCTCATCTTCTGTTGTCCCCTTCTCCTCTTGCCCTCACACTTTCCCAACATCAGGGTCTTTTCCAGGGAGACTTCTCTTCTCATGAGATGGCCAAAGTATTGGAGCCTCAGCTTCAGGATCTGTCCTTCCAGTGAGCACTCAGGGTTGATTTCCTTTAGAATTGATAGGGTTGTTCTCCTTGTAGTCCAGGGGATTCTCAAGAACCTCCTCCAGCACAATTCAAAAGCATCACTTCTTCAGCAGTCAGCTTTCTTTATGGTCCAGCTCTCGCTTCCATACATCACTACAAGAAATACCAAAGGACTATGCAGACCTTTGTCGGCAAGGTGATGTCTCTGCTTTTTAAGATGCTGTCTGGGTTTGTCATCGCTTTCCTCCCAAGAAGCAGGCATCTTTTAATTTCATGGCTGCTGTCACCCTCTGCAGTGATCACGGAGCCCAAGAAAGTAAAATCGGTCACTGCCTCCATTTTGCAGAATTATAGAATAATGGAGTTGGAAGGTGCCTATAAGGTCATCGCTCATTTGATCTTGGTCAAAGCAGATCTGACAGATGGCTCTCTTAAATGCCTCCAACTTTGGAGTGCTCACCACTTCCCAAGGTTGTGGGTCCCATTGTCATACTGCTCTAACAGTCAGAGGTTTTTTTTCCCCTTGATCTTCAGCTGAAATCTGGCTTCCTGTCGCTTGAGCCCATTAGGATGGGTCCTGAACTTTGGGATGATGGAAAACAAGTTCTGTTAATCTGGCTTCCTGTCGCTGGAGCCCATTAGGATGGGACAAGTTCTGTCCCTCTTCTGTAGGACAACCTTCCAAGGATTTGAAAAACGCTCTCCGATCTCTCTTCCGTACTTCTTTGCTCGAGACTCAGCCTGCCCACTTGTTTCAGCGTCTCCTCCCAGGGCTTGGTCTCCAACACCTTGTGGACAGCCCCAAAGCCCGGTGCTGCCCAGGGTAGGGGCCCCGATTCAGATTTCAGAGCCCTTCTCTCAAAAGGGACACTCTGCAATCCCATTCTGCTTCGCCCGGCCCAGCCACTCTTTCCTCCGAACAGGGCTGCCTTTCCCCACGTCCAGACAAGGAACAATTTGCTTAATTATTATTATTTTTGAGAACTGAAGGAGAAAACTGAGCTCTCTCCCGTTTTTTTCAGAATTCTCTTTGTGTTTGGGCAGCTCGGGCACCCGCTGTGTGCCATACGGGGGCGGAAGGGCCACCTGGCTGGGAGAGAATAATGGCAGGCATGTTCAGACTTGAAAAAAGTCCACGCCTTCCGTCACGGTCCCCCATCCGCGTTCTTCTCCCCCTCCCTTCCCTCCTTAATCACCAGGACAGAAAGGCACAAAGCAAACCGTTCTAGCTGGAGGTCCCGAGAGAGACAGACAGATGCTGGCCGTCGCTGCATCTGTCTGCACAGGGAGACACACACAGCTGGCATCCGGAGTGATAAAACCAGAGAAGGGTGGGAAGAGGGTCGCCTCCTGGAAAAAACCGAAACCACAGCTGTGTGCGGCCCTCCGTGGCGCAGACCCCACAGGGTTCGCTCCTTGATGGTGTCCATCTTGTTACTTTTTTAAAAAATCCAACAGGCATCTATCACTCATCTCTGAGTGATTTTTTCCTTCTTCCAAAAAGCACTGGTTTCTTCACCAAAACGAGCGCCGCACGACCAGTGTGGTGGGCCGTAGGCTACTAGAGGGGGGCCTTTTTAGGGTATGAAAATCTCTCCGTCTTGTTTCTTTTATTCCCACCCACCTACCCACCCTCCCATTTCCCAGAAACGTTCATATCCTGCCTGTATTAGGTTGCAAGACTCGTTTCTCACTGCAATCCCCACATTTTTGCGTCCTTTTTTTTTTAAAAAAAGAGGGGGTGGTTTGCATTTTTCTTTGTCTTTTCAACGTACGGCTTTTTATGCACTTCGGCACATGCTTTCCCACACGTAATCCTTTTTAGTCATGCACCTGTAGCTGTAAAAAAAAAAGCAGTTCATCCATCACCAACACGCCTTGTAAATGTTGTGATTTCCAAGGCAAAATGCGGTTCATTCCGTGTGGCTGTGTTGAAATGCAAAATGGGCACAGGGTGCATCCACACACAAACAGCGAATCCACCATGCTACAAGGCAGTTTGTTTCACCATCAGATCTGTTAAAGAGGCTCTTCTGGAGGCTGAGGCAAAATCTCTTTCCCCGTCAATAAATCCCACTATTTGGGGGTCAGATTCTCTGGGAAAGATGGAAAGGCAGCAGGAAAAGAGGAGGGCCCCCCATTATAAGATGGACTGACTCTCTAAAGCACTGGTTCTTAACCTTGGGTTACTCAGGAGTTTTGGACTGCAACTCCCAGAAGCCTTCACCACCAGCTGTCCTGACTGGGGTTTCTGGGAGTTGCAGTTCAAAAGCATCCGAGTAACAAAGGTTATAAGAACCACTGCTCTAAAGGAAGCCACAGGCTTGAGCCGAAGAGGGCTGTTGAGGACGGCGTATTTTGGAGAGCACTCATTCCTAGGGATCACCAGAAGTCAAGAGGCGACTTCTGGTGATCTTAACGAGCGAGATATTTACGGAGCGTCTTGATCCGTTCCGCATCCCCAATGACTTTCCAGGACTGAACGGGGATTCGAACCCAGGTCTCCCGAGTCCTTGTCTGTCAACTCTATCCGCGACACCATACCAGGAATCCCTCTTCCAGCAGCCTGCCGCAAAACTGAGGTTAGTTTTCAGCTCTCCAGGGGAAAGACGGTGGGAGTCCATGCTATGCTTTAGCCTCCGCTTTCTCCGAAAACTTGTGTTCCTCCATGAAACAGCATTCCTAATTCTGCCATTTCACCGTCCGGGCCCATGGCAAGCGGTTGAAGGTCTTTCATTTGGGTTTCCCTGTCAATTCATCGCTTTGTAGCTTCTCCGGCTGCCGGCGTAGCGTGAGGTCTGAAAAAGCCCCGTGGAAGGAGTTACATCCGGTTGTCTTCCCTCGGGACGAAACGCGGAAGCCGCCGGCTGCCACAGAGGGAACTGCGGAATATGAGAAGCGGGAAGAAAGCATGCACCTCGAAACCCCTTCATACCTAAAGTGAGTCCCAGGACCTTAAATTTGAACCCATGAGAACATCCCTGAAATTTCTCTTCCTCCGAAATGAGGGCTTTTGGCTCTCTCACAGGCAAGACACACACGGAGCGTTCCTAAGATTCTTAAAACAAAATGTTCCAGGGAGACCCTAGGTGTCTCCAACCCAACGGACCTCTCTGGCCCTTGGAGGTCATTGTAAGAGCACGTCACTGACCGCTCGAGTGAGCAGTGGCTGAGAAGCGCCAAAAGAAGACCTTAATCAAAGACCGGAGATGAAATCCAGCCGTCTCTCTGGTGGATTTCTGCATGCATCATGAGAGGCAACTCTGTTTTCTTCCAACTTCAGGCGGCCAAATCGCTTGGGTCAGCCCTAACAGAATCAGCTTATCTCTCCCCGAGACTTCCTTGATTCCATTCTCTCCCCATTTCTGCAGAAAAAAATATTTTTTTTAAAGGCTTACAAGTTTTAACAGGGCACCTCTGCGATGAAAGCGTGCTGCCCCCTCGTGGGCAGAAGAGATAAAAACTTTATACACCCCAGGGTCCCTCTGCTAACAGTCCCATTCAGAGGCAAAATTTCATTTGCTTTCTATTTTCAGGCATAGCTTCCAGCTGCCGCCGGGAAATAAATAGGTGCAGCCGACATTATGAATTAATGCGTGCCCACAAATCTGACCATTTCCTCTAAAAACAAAAAAGCTCAAGAAATTTACCCGTTGCGTTTGTTTGGAACTTGATCTGAACAGAGGACAGAAAAGAGAGACAATACCAGCTAGGGATGTAAAGGCCTTCAAGAGGTAGGTACACAGGTACTTACCATACATTGCACATCCTCTACAGTGGAAGGAGGGGGACATCCTTAGCTTGGAGCTGTCCCTCCCTGGTTCAAGCTTGACAGATGGGATTTCTTCTGTCCATCACTGGTGCTGGAAGGGCCCTCTAGAAAGCCAAAGTAGTCCTCCTTCCACTGTAGAATTCTGACCACATCTCCTCTCATCCCCCACCAGCACAACCGAAGACGGCGAAGGACAGGAGATGCTCTCTGATGGCTCTGGAGGGCCACCTTGGATGGGCGAGAGCTTGAGAAAGCCATGGTAAGGCAAGCAGAAACCCATCGCTACAAAATGACGCCTTTTGCTGACGTAATGAATTCTGAAAATCTCACATGGGGTGAACGTACAACCTCAGTTTGGTACCTGGAACCAGGAGGCACTTTCTGCTTACTCCAAGGGAAAGGGAGATCAGCTAGCTACCACCGGCTTCTATAAAACTACGTTTGTTGTTGCAATGAAGCTCAATGGAGCGTTCTCCCATAACTGCGTGGCTCTGGATGGGTCAGACGACAGCAGCCGTGGGTGAGAGCTGACGACTCAGTATTAGAAGGATGTTACAAAAGGGGTCACCGGGGTTGGGCAGGTGAGATCAGGAGGAGGGTGGCCAACTGTGTGGACGGGCCGAAGCCCATGTCCGGGAATGGATGCCCCAAGAAGGAGGGGAGAAGGTTCCCCTTTGGAAGGGCGAACTCACACATTGGCAATAGGCTTGAAAAAGGCCCCCTGACCCATCGGCTTCCATCCCAAACAACTCCAACTTTATTTACAAAACCATCCACAACGTAACCTGGA